TATTTTATAATTTTTTTCAATAGCAATGAATATAAAACTACATTGTAAGTATTTTTTCCTATGTGCATAGCATTCTCTTTTGTCATAGGATATTTAACCCATCTTTATTTGTAGATCTTTGCTTTTTCCCCAAATTGTCAACATTATAGATAATATTATAGCAAATATTATACATAAGTGCCATTATATGTAAACATACATTTATATATATATACATAACATACATTTTTATATAGCTATATAAATAGGTATATAAAATAAAATTTACCAAAAGTAAAATTGTTAATTTAGCTAATATGCTAATTCAAATAGAGTAATACATACTACCAAAATGTCTACCAGAAAGATGGTACCATTTTACATCCCTTCCAACAGATTATAAAAGTACTGTACTAATGTTACAACATTTTGCTAAGACCTGGTATTACTATGCTCTTAAAACACTCCCATACTGAGAAGTAAAATATAACATATTTTTCTTTTAAATTTTCATTTCTTTAATTGCTAATGAATTTGAACATCACATATAGTTTGTGAATTAGCATTTTATGTATTTGCCCATTGTTTTGTCTTTTGTTAAATAAACAAATTATTTGCCATGTGTATTGCAGACCTACGTTAGTTTGTCATTTATGTTTATCTTTATGGTAGTTTCATTTCAATAAATATTTGAATTCATCCAATCTAATTTGTATTTCTAACCAATAGTTCATTGCAAACTGATTAAACTCATAAATGGGATCACGTGTGAAAAAATGTGCTTTGGCATTTGAGTCTGAGACTCCTTGAAAACTTTTCACTATTAGATTTTTCTACTATCACTATCTAGAGCATTAAGAGAGAGTTTTGCTATCACTTCCTTATATTTTCCATGCTCAGTCATTAAAACTTCAAAAGCAATGGTAGAAAATAAAAGTGAAACTTCATGGCTAGATGAAATAAAATTTAGCTAGTTATAAATACAGCATTTTATTATATTAACTTGGTGCACTTACTTCATTAAAGGTCTGATTAATCAGCCCAATCCTTTATACTTCCAAACTTTAGATTCCCCCTTTGCTAGACTCATATTGTTATATAATATTATGACATTTAAATACTTTAGAGATCACTTGTCTCCTCATTTCTCAAATGTCATTAGCAACTTACATAAGTTGTTAATAACTTGATTAAAATTACTCTGTAGCACAAAACCAGGTCTTTTGACTTTTACACTGCGTTATACTTCTCTTCCATGGGTCAACATCAGAGATATTTGCTGATTTTTATTTCAACAAATTGTTTGATTTTTGAAAAAAAAAAAAACCAAAAAATCAAAAAGTAAAATTCTGTGGTGTGATCAACACGTTGAGGGATAATCCCAGAAAGAGAACATGTTCCTTTGTTGACCAGAGTCCAGAATAAGGCTTCTTAGTTGCTTTATTACATGAATGGAAACAAATGAGATATTAATCCTAATTATAAAGTGAAGCTAGAATTTGAACAAACAAACACAAAACGACTTCCCAATTTCCTAATTAGTCACAAGTCTCAAGAGAAATGAATAAATGGCATCTCAGTCCTACAGTCATGTACATAACTGTCTTTTAAATTTATGATTATAATTCTCTAATTTGTACAAATGAAGAGCATTTCCCTGGGGCTTGAGTTGTTCAGGACACTAATAACAGAAGACTTGCATTCTTATATTTCAAGATAAATTTTCATTGCAAATACAGAAGAGCCATATGTTCCTGGAATTTACATATTATAATCACAGACACTAAAAAAAAAAAGTAAATTTATTAAAGGCAGACACAGTATAAAACTGAATGTGATGAGAAAATAAATTCACTTATACAAAATAGTCTATTAGTAATTGATTTGTATAACCTTCATAAGTGTCTCTTGAAATTCTGATATAAAATTTATCAGACTTGTTTTCTAATCTGTTTTATTCAGAGGTTAGGAAAATTCTTAAATTATTAAAAGGCTTATTAGTCCTTTCAACTTTTGACTACTCAACAAGTTGTAAAATTTCTTTGAATAGTAAACTAATGTATAGTGAAATGATTAATACTATTATAATATTATACATGTTTATCCTTTTAGTGGCCACCAATATTTCTTATCAGTGATATATTTAATATGCATATGTATCTTCTCCTCTCTCTCTCACTGAACAAGACACACAAAGTAAATCACCAAAATTTCTAAATTTAGGTTTAGAGCTCCAAATTATATTAATATTTTCTTTGGCATGAAGAGATTTTCTCAAGTTTCTAAGATAAATCTATTTTTAGAGTTAACATAATTGTAAAGAGGGAGGCTATTGCTACATGGCTATACATTTTGTGTTCAGAGGAAGGAAGGAAGGGAGGAAGGGAAGGGAAAGAAAGAGAAGGGGAAGGGAAGGGAAAGAAAGAGAAGGGGAAGGGAAGGTAAAGGGGAAGGGAGGAGAGAGGATGGGAGGAGGGAAAGGAAGGGAAGGAAAGGGAAGGGAAGGGAAAGAGAGAGGGAGGAAAGGAGGGAGAGAAGGAAGAAGGAAGGGAGAGGGAGGGATAGGGACAGAGAGGGAGGGAAGGAAGGAAGGGACAGAGGGAGGAAAGAAGGAAAGGAAAGGAAGGAAGGGAGGGAGGAAGGGAAGGAAATTGTTTTTAAAGACAGATCCAATCAGGAGACATGAATTTCAACTTCACAGTTACAATTAAGTCTAGTGAAATGGGTAAGAAAGTAAATGCAAAGTAGGACCAACTTTCTGGAGGGCAATTTGAAACTCTCCATCAGTCTCCTTGAATGTTCATGTATTTTGTTAAATTAATTCCACTTCTAGAAATGTAGTTAAATAGAGAAAGATCAGAGATATACTCATGTATTTATGAAAAGATAGTAAACATATCAGTATTTTACTATAACAAATTGAAACACCTAAAATATTAGTATGGAATTAAATAAATTTTTACTAGGTCTGTTCACATAATGATAGGGACAGGAGGCAGGGAAATTCTGGGCAAAAGAGAGTAAATCTCTTGTGAGGACCCCACCCTCAAGCTGAAAAGCCTGATACCATGGCCCAAAGTGAGAACTTACATCCCTGTTTTTCTGCTCGAATGTTGCCTTTTCCAAAACCACCCATGGCTTGCCCTACCCCCTATCCTGTGCCCATGAAAACTCCAGGCTCAGCTGGCAGAGAGGAGCAGATGAAGTATGGTTGGACATCAGAGAGAAGCAGCTTGACTTCAAGAGGCAGCTTGACAGTGGTACTTGGAGAAGAATCTGACCAGAAATGGCCAGATTTCAGGGGAAGATTACTATCTCCTTTTCAGCTCCCCTTCCTGCTGAGGGCCATCTCCATTAGCAATAAAATCCTCCACATTTACCGTTCTCCAACTCCTATTGTGAATTCATTTCTTCTGGATGCCAGGAAAGAGCTTGGGTACCATGAGTACGGATACAGAAGGCTGTCGCACTGACCCTTTGCTCTAGCTGGAGGAAGGCAGCTGCCTAACTCAAGAAAAGCAGAGGGCCCACTGTGTTTTAAGCTGTCTGCAGACAGCAGAGCTAGAAGAGTACTATAACACTTTTTCTGGGCCTTCAGGGGTCTCAGGCATCCCCCTAGACACTGCTGCGGGGCCAGTACAGAATTTGCTCCTGCTAGTCCCCAAAAGCGCTTGCCCCAGCTCCTGCACTCATTCACCTGCTTGCTTCCTCCAGCAAGCACTGGAATGCGGCAGGTCAGAGTGGGTGGGGTTTGCCCTTACTAGCACTGAAGCAGCGGGCTAGTTCCTGTGCTGACCTACTCCAGTTCTCACCTGCAAAGGGGTCAGGGGGATATCCGGCTTCATCAATACAATACTATAGACCAGGTAACTAATTTTAAATTAATATATAGGAACATGGAAATATGCTTATGATAAAAAGTTAAGTGGAAAAAGAGAATGAGCATTATAACCTCAATTTTAGAAGAATATCTGCCAAAATGATAACCCCTATAATTATTAACAGATGGTGTGAATAGGAGGTTTTATATTCTATTTATACACTTTATATTTTTCTGTAATTAACATCTAATTTATCTAATCATAATAAAATGAAAAATAATATAGATGGCATGTAAAACTTGTACCTATAGGTACAAGAGCTATTCAGAGAAACACTTATCAAAGTTATTATAATTATCTTAATAATTTAGTGTAATCCTAAATTCAAACTGCAAATTTCTATTGATTTCATTGATAAACACATAGATACAAAAGACACTTATACTATTAAGATAATCATAATAACTTTGGTTTCCTTAGAAACTTTTCTTTGTTGAAATTTTTCTAAGTATCAAAATTATGCCAGATACTTTAAATCTTTAATTTTTTCTTAATTCCTACTACTTTAAATATTTAACTTTTCTTAATCTTTATTACTTTAAAGATTTAATTTTTTCTTAATTCTTATGAGCACTGGAACTTAAATTGGCAAATGGCTTTCAATATCACATTAAAGATTATTTCTCTGAATAGCTCAAAGCTCCACATATCCCCCAAATCTGCTATTTTTCGGTAATTTCCTAATTCTATTGATTTAACTACCATCTGTTTAGTCACCCAAGTTAGATATTTAAATTCATCTCGATCTGTTTCTCATTCATCATTAAAAATAATTAGCTCTAAATTTCAGTGCATTATTTCTCCTAAATGGCTAAATGCATCTCTATAAATCAACAGCACCTACAGTTCTAAACATGTTATGGAAGTTAACAAATACATATTTGAATTCTGCTTTTTAGAAGGTTCAAGCCAGGTGTGTGCTCCAACCTCACCAAATTCATCATTTCCTAAGGAAAAAAAAAAAAAAAAACTGTTCTCTTTAAAATTTTCACTCACAATATAAAACAGCAAAAGTGTGCCCTCTCCTATATTTTCCTCTGTTTAATCCTGGAGTTCAATCCTGGTAAACTGAACTAATTTTATTGCATCCCAAATACTTTGCATGACCTACTTTTAAAGAACCCAGCATACTGAATTGTAATTACTTGCTTTCTGTAAGTTCTCTTCACTAGATTGTGGACTGCTCTATAGAAGGGCCCAGGCTTTGAACCTCACCTTGAAAGGAGATTCCATCCTTCCTTCCTGCTTCTAGCATCAACAGAGCCAAGAATATATGGTAGGCATTCAGTAATTATTTTTCTGTGTAACATTATTTTGATTGTTACTCTATGTTAGACTCCTATATTCAGACTGCAAATTTCTATTGATTTCATTGATGAATCACATCTATTTCACTATAGTCCCAGTTCATACAAATCTTAGAATTTATACTCATGTCATTTAACAGTCAAAAAAGTGGCTCCTCTTTACCAAAGAGATTTATATTATTAAGATAATTGTAATAACTTTTGTAAGAAAACCTATCTTTGTTGAAAATTTTCTCAAGTACCAGGATTATGCCAGACACTTTAAATATTTTTTTTCTTAATTCCTGCTTAGAAATGAGGCAACTGGGGACCAGGATGTTAAAAAAAAAAAAAACTTTTGATAAGGTTCACAGTCAGTGAATGTCAGATCTACATAGGACCAAGTCTGTATCATTAGAAAACCAATTTTCTCAAGTGAATTGAGTGGAAAGTTTTCATAATAAATAATACAAATTTGTTTATATGAGTGTTATATGGGTTTTTTTTGAGCCAGATCAGAAAACTGTTATGGAGCAAGTAATAATAGTACTATAAAATTTCACTTATTTTAATATTTGTAGGGAATATTACTCAACCTAATAATAAATGTCTGATATGATTCTGAATTCTCTCACTTCCCCTTTGTGCCTGCAATTGACAAGATATTTGATACTGTGTCTCAAGATATCCTTAGGAATAATACCGAGAAATATGGGTGGATGCTAATGTAATTAAGGTGGAAAGAAAGTGCTTATATTATCACACTAAGAAGCTATTAATGTGTTGATTCTGATCTGTTGCCATTTTATTAATGGCTGTAATGAAGAATTAGAGACTATACGTAATACATTTGTAGATGATAAGATTCATTGATATGACAAAATACATCAGAGAAGCAGAGTCAAATGGTATATAGAGAGTTGATGAATGTGCTAAATCGTCAGAAACTGCATTTAAAAGGAATTATTATGAATTCTTGCCTTTTGTTTCAAAAACCCAAGTAGCATATTAGAAAAAGATAATCACAAGAAGAGATAGAGAATTTCATGAATTAGGAGGATGTGTTGTTTCCTTCAGGTGTCACCTCAAGGTAAATCAAAAGGTAATGTGGTTGCCTCAAACAAAAAAACCATAAGGCAAAAGAGAACTAGAATTTCTGTCCAACACAATCTGTGAAGGAATCATTTTCCTTAATAAATGTAGAATCCTCCAGGCTTTAGACGCTAGCAGCAAATGAAAACTGTCCAGGTGGGTAAGGGAATCTGATAAAACAGATTTTACAAGATTATCAATAATTTGGCCTTTTCCTTAGAACTCAGCCACTTGGAATAGAGCTGCCTTCAGGAGGTTGGATGACAACATGCATTGTTCCCCTCCAATCCAAGCTAGGATAAAAATATTTATTTGCGTATGCATCTCAAAATTGAGCCTGGTTGGTATTTTCAGAGCTTTTTCTTGAACATGAAGAGAAAAACAAAAGAGAAATTGCCGGACACCAAGAAATACAGAAGTAGTTTGTCTCAAAGATGTGAGCCCAAGACTCAAACGCTGACATAATCTACCGTTGTCCCAAAGTAAAGACAGCTGCTTACTCTCCCGAAAGTGTTATGGAGCTTAGTAGGTGCAAGGCCAAAGTTTCCTCTTTGAGATCCAAAGTTAGCTCCAGCTCTTACTGAGCCTCCCCTTGAGGACTGCCACTTTTCAATTGATGTTTCAGGAACCAGCTGCCTGAACACCTTTGTTTTCTTGCTGCATCCTAATCTTCTGTTCAGTTCCACATTTAGTTCTGAGGAACATAAATCTTCAACAATAATTAGGCAGATTTACGTTGCATGAATAACTTCAATTTCACCTTTCAGGTGATTCTGTATTTCCTTTACTTGGAAAGAAACTATACTTTTTCATGCACCAAGAGTAACAATATTCTAATCCAAAATGTGTCCTGCCAGACACTCTATACAAAGGGTCTGGTGTCAAAAAATTTTGGGAAGCACTGCTCTATGTTTATCCCTCAGGGATTCATGGACACGATTATAATAGCAGGTTAAGGGTCTAACATGGCCTGCAATTTAAAAACCTCTTAAATTAAAATGTTCTAAAACTCAAGTTAACTGAAAGTTTTCCAAGCTAATTTGTCCAGAGAACAGATTATGCACGTAAATTGTGTTGTGTGTTCATATAGCACATATTAACCTCCTATGGAAGGTAGTTTGTCCAACACTGCTCTTACTAAGGAAGTATACGGTCAGATTTTCCACATAACACGAAATAAGCAGATCATTGCCTCTCAGAAGGTAGTTTCTGAGAATCAGATGGGTCCTGCTCTATATGTTCAAATACATACTATTTCAGTTTTAAGAACCATTTTTCCTAGTAATCTGGACATGTATGATTTTTTTTCTAAATGAGAAGAACAGTAGATCTTTTTAAATTACTGAAATCATGCCCCATGATATGTGTTTGGAGTAACTGGAGTTGGGCTCTCTAGTATGTAGAAGAGAGATGAACAGTGGGGAAAATGTCATTGATTGCCTCAATATTTGCATTTCAAATAAATCTATGTGAAACAGGTTTTGAGTAGGGCCAGGCATGGTGGCTCATGCCTATAATTCCAGCACTTTTGGAGGCCAAGACAGGTGAATCACTTGAGGTCAGGAGTTCAAGACCAGCCTGGCCAACATGGCAAAACCTTGTCTCCACCAAAAATACAAAAATTAGTTGGGTGAGTTGATGCACACATGTAGTCTCAGCTACTCAGGAGGCTGAGGCATGAGAATCGCTTGAGCCCAGAAGGTGGAGGTTGCAGTGAGCCGAGATTGCTCCATGGCACTTCAGCCTGGGCAACAGAATGTGATCCTGTCTCAAAAAATAAATGAAAGCAAAAACAAACAAACATAAAACCCCAAGGGTTTTTATGTATTATCTCAAGATAAAGACAAGGGCCAGTATAACAATGCTTTGTAAGAGTTAGAGCTATTAAAAATGTAATATGCTAACTCCCAATGATGTATGGTTCTTATCACTGGGGAAGGTCCTTTGATTCACCTGCATCCCAGATGCTCATACAACTTCTGAAAATACAAAGGTGATTTCTACCTATGCACTCTTAAGCCAGGAGCACACACATCATGTACAGGCATAAAAGTATTCTCTTTGCCTTTGACAAAGACCTTTTCAAAGTTCTGTAAATAAACAAAAGAGGGAGTAGTTAGTTCTAACCTGCTTCACAGACAGTGAAGACCAAACCTGCTTCACAGACAGTGCTTCAGCACACTCTCAAAGGGATTTGAGCCAAAATATTGCAAAGGAATCTAGCTTTAGCTTTATAGTTGGATGATATGATTTTGAGATCTCTTCGATATCTACTTATCATCAAATTCTATTTCTTATGCTTATATTCTGTTTATTATTTTAAAACTATGTCAAGTCTAATACTTCGATTTTTACCATTAATTTGCATTATTATATTCTTTCTTCTACTGTTGAATTTTATCAGGTAAAAATGAGCGAACGAAAACTAACTTTCCAATTTGAATGATATGTAACAATTATTTCCAAAGAAAATCCACAATTAATTATTTTATTGTTCAGTATTTCAGATTTTTCTTTAAAACATTTTCTTCTGCTATGCTTTCCAAATGCAATCTTAAGGAATATCATTTTTTAAAAGGTCTATGTAAAGGAGAGAATAGACAAGAGATTTTTGGAGATGGAATAATAAAAATATTCTTTAAAGGACCCTACAAATAATTCTGTTAATTAAAATACTAATTTAAATGAAATGTAGATTGATATACAGTTGTAGAAATCTCCATCAAAGCTCTCTGGTCCAAAAGCCTCAAATCCCACAACCACATAATGAAACACAGAAGAAATATGAAGTTCAATTGAAATATAGAGTTCAATGGAAACCAAGAGATCTCAGAACCCATAAACATCTGGGTGCCTGGAGAAAAATAAAGGGGAATATGCCAACTTAAGAAATCTGCAGAGCTACCCCACTCACAATGATACAGTTATATCTGGCCTATGATTGCCAGATACTGAAGTTGAGAACATAGTTACAACTTACTAAAAAATATTATAAGCACTGGCAAAGAGAAAATAGATATAAAGTTGCAATATCTGTAATTAGAATAAACGTTAAATTTTATTCTAGGCAGGCAATTTTATTCTAGGTATCTCATGTGAACCTTTTAGATTGATCTTTATTTTTATGAATAGTCCTTCAAATTCAGAAGGAATAATACTGCAATACTATTCAGAAGGAATAACACTACAACACAAAGATATGACCATGATTCTCTTGTACCAAATAACTAAGGAAAACTATTAACACATGATCAATTTTATAGCAGCAAAGATTGATTCAAGTCCAAATATAAACTAAGCTCTCCCTGTTTATACATGTGTTTATTTACATATGCAGATGTAGTATATTTCATCTGAAGTATAAAAATAAAAGGAGATACCCACAAGATCAAATATCTATTTGTTTCAGTCAGTCCAATTAATTTATATAAAATAATTTCTAATTTCTGTTTTTTCTTTTTAAGATTACACAATAATTTATTTATTGAGAGCCTCCTCTCCCCGCCCTTGCAGTCTCTAGGTCACTTTTTCCTCTTGCAGATTTTGCCCGCAAGCCCCAGAAAGATAGCTGGGGGCAGGGTCACTGGGTACTGTTCAGTGAGACCCATAATGTGGTTTTAACTGTCTTCCTCATACTGCGAGAACGCGGCTGGCAGATCCAGCTCCTCTTACAATGCCTTCCCTGGGGCCACCTTCGCAGCCTCCTTCTGCCTGTAATTTTCCTTCAGGATCTGGCACTGTTCCAGAGTGGACGTTGCAGACACTGGACCACCAGCCAGCTGCATTTGCTGTCCTGGATGTCAGTGCCAACTTTGCCAGTCACACTGGGGTCCCCAAAGAGGTCAGGTTAATCATCCTGAATCTGAAAGAACTCTCCCATCTCCAGCAGGATCTTCTT